AGAAACGTGAAGTCCTTGGCCTGAGTTCCGAAACTGAACTCCATCCCCACCAGGAGAAGCATGGGTGCTCAGGGAGGGCCTCTGGAGGCCCGATGGCTGGCCTGGCCACATCGGCTCCTGCCTGGACTCTTGCAGAACCTTCCTGAAGAGAGCCCTGGTGGGTCCCTCCTCCACTTGCTTAGGATCTTCCCCTGCACGAAGCTGGCAGGTCCCCTGAGGGAGTGGTCAGGAGGAAATGCACAGGGACAGCTGGAACAGCAGGACTGCGGGGTGGGGAGTCTCCATGTCATGGGAGAGGAGAGGGTCTCTGGACGTAAGGACGCAAAGCAAAGAGCAAAGAGGGCACAGGAGAGACCCTGGGAGGAGAGGAATGGGATGCGACAGGCGGGCAAGGCTGAGGCAAACCAGAGCCCGAGGGGGGCCGAGCTGCGAAGCCAGGGAAGGGAAGTGTTTCTGTATTTTTGGGTTGAAAAGAAGTTTTGAAAGGACGGGATGGTGGTATAAAAAATCCTGGAGGCCAAGTGGGGGCTGGCCATTAGGAGCTGGGAGCCCCTTTGCGCGCAGTGGGCAGCAGGGTCTGTGGGGTGAAGGGAAGATGCGGCCCAGAAAGCGGCTTCGGCTGCGGCTGCGAGATAAAGGGAAAGGAGCGCAGGGCGGCGGGATCGGGTCTCAGCAACCTCTGGGTAAGGAATCCTCCAGATCACGCCGTAAATAGAAGCAACAGGTTTTTCTCTGAGTCTGTGGAGGTGGCTGGGGTGGCCTATATAGGTGGGCCTTGGTGGTGGTGGTGGTGGTGGGGGCAGGCCTGCCTGTTTGGAGGAACGCGGGGACGCCTGTCTTGACTCTTGACATCGGAACTGGCCTCAGTCCCCGAACCCCAAGTCAGGCATGGAGAAGTCGGCTCCACCGGCAGGTGGGAGGAGTGCAAGGCTGTTTAGTGACGCCCTGGAGACAGGACAGAGGGCAACTCGGGACCCCTGCCGCCCTCCCCGCCGAGACAGCAGGTCAGAGAGGGAGAGGCTGGATGGCGTGACTATTGCGAAAATTACAGAAAGCCCCAGATTTGGAGAATCCAAGTTCGAGTTCTGGCTCTGCCAGTTACTGCCAGTTAGTGCAGCCTCGGGGAGGTCGCTGAACCCGAATCCCTGCTTCCCTGAAGCGGAAGCGCCGAGTTCCACCTCCTGGTGTGAAGTCAGAGCAGGAGACACTGGGCAAAGCGCTTTGCAGACCTCTGCACGATGACACAGGAAGTTCCGGGGAGAGGTGGGAGGCTGTCATGGGACGGCGGGAACACAATGGCTACTTTCAAGTACTGAAAGGCATTCATGTGGAAGAGGACGGGACACAAAGAAGCCTGTGTTTCTAGATCAAGGGCTGATGATGGAAATGAGGGGAGTGACAGGGAGGAGATTGTTCCATAAAAAATAACATTTTAATAATGAGGGCAGTTCAAACATGGCTTCCGGAGGTAGTGAATTCCTCATTGCTGGGGGTGTCAGAACTGGGCCCGGCTGACCTGATACACTCAGGGGAGAACTGAGGAGGAGGTGCAAGCATACCAGTAGCTAGATCAAGTCCCCCCAGTGGGCTGCCTGCCACCCCAGCCCCCAGAGGGCATTCTGTTGGCAGAATCTCTCAGTGATTGAAATGGCGTTTGGCAGGTGGGGGTCGGTCATGCTAAGCCCTAGCAATACTGACAGCCCTGACCAATGGAAGACAATCTCTCGAAGTGCCTACAGTGCCCTGGGGTCACCACCGGGCTATCAGCCCAGGGTTACAATCCCGAGTTCAAATACATGCAGGTCCTATTTTTTAGGAAGCCCTCCACTTTTCTTTGGCCAATGCTTCACTGCCCTAACGGGGGCTGAAAAAGTATTTGACTTCAGAAAAATCTTAGGTACAATTAAACAGGCAGTCACAACAGAACATTGGAATCAATTTAAGTAGCAAAAGCATACTCCAAGTTTTACAAAACAGTCATAAATACACATAATCATATAAAGGGCGATGAGGTTACCGCGTGCATAAAGCCTGTTATTCCTCCTTCCAAAGAGCGCCAACTCCCTGGTGGAGGCACCAATGAGCGATGCAGCTCACACACTGGCAGAAATAAGCAGTGCGCGTCTAATGAACTATTTTGCTTGCTACAGAGAACACAGAAAGGCTCTTAGGTAATAAACAAACAGTAAAATTATCCTTTACAAAGTCTGAATTTACCATTACCCTCCCCACTTTGAAATGAAGGAATACACTGTAATATGTGTTTAAACACCAGCTCTGATTCCTTGGGCTGGGGGTGAAGCCCAATGGAGAATCAGCAGACCTGTCACCGCCTCAGCTTCTCCGCTCCTCACCGCGGCTCTGCAGTCCTCGTGTGTGTCCGGGCCACTTGCCTTGTCCACCTGCAGGCTGACCATCCACCTCCACTACTTGCCCTCGGAGGTTCATCCCATCCCCGCTGCTGGCCTGACAAACTCCTAGGCCCCTTGGGGACCCACCTCAGCAGCTCCACAGCCATAGGCCTTTCAGGACTCCTCAGAGCGCCTGCCTGTCCCATGTGCCACCGCTGTTCCTTTAGCAGCTGGGCTGGCAGGAGTGGACATTCCTCAGCCTTAAAGTCACCAGAATCACCCTAAAGCCTCTAACACCTGGCTTACAGACCCGCCCTGGGAGTTTCTGACTCGATAGGTCTAGGGTGCGTTTCTAACAAGTCTCCAGGTGATGCTGACCCGCTGGGCCAGGACCACACCCGGAATCGTTTCTCTCAATGATTCGATTTCAGGCTTGCATTTTCTACGAGACTGCAGACTGCCAGCGTGGTGAAATCAGCGAGCATTCGCTGCACATCCCATCCCCAGGGTCTTGCCAGTGTCTGACAGTTACTCAACAGATGTTTCCTGAGTGCCCATTATGTGCCCGGCACTGTCCTAGGAACTGAGATCCAGCAGTTAAAACATCTGCATATAATTCACATAAGACCTCCCTGCCCTCGGAGTTGATCTTCTGTTTACCCCCGCTGTAAACTGTTTACTGAAATCTGACCAGCTGTGCTGAAGAAGAGGTTACCCTAACCATGTTAACGTACTATGGAGATAGCAAGTTTTCACTTTGTAATCAGTGTTTCCCATTTGTACACTTTTCCTTCTAAGAATCCACCCCAATGTCCACCACACAAATCCATAAACTTAGGAGTATATCAGGCTTCTGAGTCTTGCCAAATTCTTGCTGGCTGGTTTATAAAATATTTGGTGTGGATGACATACAGTAAAAAAAAAATACCCATTTATGGTTGATACATACAGTATAATAAAACAATTTAGGAGGGAAACAATCTCAAGTGTTTTTATTTACTAATATTTCAGAATAGCTTAACTCGTGCTTCTCAAGTCAGCATTAGTTATCTCTAAGGGGAGCCCCCAGTAGCCTGCTATACAAGCTGGGACCTCGGGCCAAATGCGTGGACAGTCCTGTGTGCAATTCTGAGAAACCCGTAGGAGGCCCCGGAGGCCATGTGGTGTCGTGGATAGATGGGCACAAGAGCAAGGGTGAGCCTGGCTGCCCCTGCATGGCCAGGGAAGCTGGTTCTCAGGTCACACCCCAGCCTGTGGTCCATGGGTCATGGCCACTCCCTCCCCAACCCTAGGGAAGTACAAAATCTGTACCTTCAGCTTTGAACTAATCTGAAAGTGTCTCAGAAATAACAATGAGAACGATCACAAAGGGCAATTGGGAATGTAACTGAAGTGGCCATAACATTTACTTTCAAGATTCAATATTCCTAAGGTTTGCAAATGTTTTTAAAAAGTTTTCCTTTTTTCTCTCTTCGTCTCTCTGGCAAGCGCACATGTCCTATGGCAAAAATCTCTCTCAAAAAAAACAGCTTTCCTTTCTAAAAATACATTTGTTTATTTATCGATTTATTTGTCATGATTTTCAAGTCATCTGGTCTGGAACTCGAATCATGGTTGACCATGTGGAAATCCAGCGCCTTAACCTCCAGACCACCTGCTGGCCCAAAAGGGCCTTTTAAAGTCAAAGCCTCTGTTAATTAAATGGAGGGGAAAATTACATGTGGGGCACCATTTGTAAATGGAATTCTAAAAAAGGCTAGTTTCCATATTCCATATTCAATATTGTGTTAACATCATAGCCAAAGTTGTTAGTGATTTCAAGAATCAGTGATATCGTATAGCAACATTGCCTCAGAAGAACATTCTCTTCCTACTGCTACCGAAAATCAGTGATGTAATTGGAACTGGACCCTACTCCAAGTCACTGTGATTGATCCTAAATATTAATAGATTAAAGAGAAATTAACATTGTAAGTGTACTTTTAAAATGGAGACCGGGTCCACTAACTTCATTTTTTTGGGGGGAGAGGTTTTTTTTTTTGGTTTTTTTTTTTTTTTTTTTGTTACAGGGCATGTGCACTCGCCCCAGAAGAGAGAGACAGAAAGCGAGAAATCACCCCCAGGGGGGATGGCCACGCCGCAATCCCTTCTCCTCCATTCTCCTCTCGGCATCTTGGGCACGCACATACATGTGCCCAGCTTGTTTTAAGCCACCGGGTCCGGGACTCAAACCACGGTCAACTTCATGGGAGTCCAGCAACATAGCCATTACGCTAACTGCTGGTCCCTAACTTCATTTCTTTTATGAGTCAACCCTAATTGAGTAAATTCTGATTACTAACAGGCTTTGCGATTATTGTGACCTGCTGGTCAGCTATACACTGAGTCTTAAAAGGTGACATTTACTTCCCGGGAGCATTTGACTGTCAACCTCGGAATCCAAAGGAATTACTATTTCTTAAAAGATGTGTAATTCCATGCTGAGGAGTGACCTTCAGTGAACCAAATAATTTCAAATGAAACATTAGGTTACTGGACAAGTCATGACGTAGTTTTCTATGCAAAATGCGTCATGGCTTTTCCGATGACCTAATAGCAATCGATCTCTGTTGGCAATTACATTGGTCTCATTAAATTACTGCTACCTCCTTTAGTGTAATGAAAGAACACATTACTATATTTTGGAAAATACACAAATCTAAAATAAAAATATTCTCATTAACATCATTCATATTCCAGTAATAAATCATTTTCCTTAAAAAATGTTTCAGTTATTCACAAAGTCCACCCTTAATAACAAGGCTGAATTCTAGAAGCGCAATAAAACTTCTTGAGCCTTCCTTCCCTCCAGCGCAGGCGAGGCTCCTTAGTGGGTTCCGAGGCACAGCTTCTTGTGTTGGTGCTGGTCTTCATTCAGAGGGACGGGTCTGACCACACCATCTAGCAATCAAGAATACCTTCATATCAGCCAAACTACTTCAAATGCATGGGCACTTATTTCAGCCATATAGATGGTAAGAACAGAATGACGCTTAAGTTAAAGGAGCACTTATTTTATCTTCAAATTCTCAACCATTTACAAACCGACTCTAGAAAACTCACTCTCAAGCAACACAGTATCTGACCTTTCGCAAAAATTTTTGAATTTTTTTTGTTACTGCCAGAGGGCAAGCACACTTGCCAGAGCACTGATGAGCACACCCCAATGGGGCCACCCTTTTCCTCCATTTCTCCCTCCCATCCGGTCTTGGGACACACACATGTACACCCTGCATGTCCTCAGCAGCCAGGGCTGGGATTCAAACTGTGATTGGTTGGCCATGTGAGATCCAGCTACCAGCAGACAGCTGGGAAGCCAGTCCCGGATCTGACCTTTTGCAGTTAATTTTATTCTTTATTTATTGTGAGGGAAGCACCCCCGAAGGGGCCTTTTTCTGTGCTTCTTTCCTCCCCACAGCCTTCCAGACAGCTAAGATCAGGGACTGGGCTGTGGGCATGCCCAGTGTGTTCATGTCAACCCAGAAAAGAAATATTTAACCAGTACTTGCAAGTCAAATTTCTGGGTCATGGGGTAGATGCATGTTCATCTTTATGAAGATGAAGTTGAATTACTATCTACGGTGATAGTAAAATTTTCAGTCCAACCACCAACATACAAAATTCCTAATTATCCATGTTCTCACTAGCACTTGGTACTGGCAAATTTTAATTCTGCAAGCCTAATTATAAAACGTTGCTTTGATGTGATGGTGACTAGCATTTCTCTAATTACTAATGAGTTTGATCATCTTTTCTGTGTTTACTGACTATCTGTTTTTCTTCTGTTGTGAACAAATAACTATTTTGTACTCATTCTCTATTACATTTTTCTCCTTCATCAATCCATAGGACTTCTGGGACACGTTCAGAAGCCAATTCACTATCATGTGGAAAATATATTCTTCCAGTTAAAGGCCCTTAAGTTCTTTCACTAGAAAGTCTTCTGGAGAAAGACTTTCTTAGTCTTTGGAGATAAGAAGTCCTTAACTGGAATGTATTCTAATTTCTTTTTCTTTTCATAAATGGTCAGCAACTTGTGTTCTGTGTAAATTATCCTTTATATTCCAAGTCATAAAAATATCCTATACTTTCTTCTAAACCTTGAAATAATACTTACTATTCCACTTGTCTTTAATTCATATGGGATTGATTTTTATGTATTATGTGAGGTAAGAATTCAGCATAATTTTTTCTTCTTTTTTAGATTTTTAAAAAATTTACCAAAGGTGGGACCAGCAGATGGCATAATGGTTATGTCACTAGACTCCCATGTAGTCGACTGCAGTTTGAGTCTTGGACCTGGCAACTTAAAACTCATGCTGGGTGCACATGTGTGTATGTGTGTGTGCGTGTCCAAAATCCCAAGAAGAGAATGGAGGATAAGAGACTGCAGTGCGGCCATACCCCCTGGAGGGTGATCTCGCATTCTGTCTCTATAGCTCTCTCTGTCTTTCCAGCAAACACACACGCCCTATAGCAAAGTAGAGGGTACATGTGCTCATAGGAGAGAGAGAGCGAGAGAACAAAAGTGAAAAAGTATATCTCCCATGGGGAGTGATCATGCCGCTATCCCTTCTCCAACCCTCTCTGTTTTTGAGATTTTGGGCATACCTGCACATGTGCCCAGTGTGTTTCTCAAGCCACCAGGACTTGGATCATGTGTGATCCAGTCACCCTAACTGCCAGGCCATGAGCTAGGCCCAGTATAATTTTTTTCCCAGTATTACACATTAAATAGTCTATTCTTGCCCCTGCGATGTGCATGACTCCCTCTGTCATGGGTAAATGCCCAAAATTAAAGAGCTTAATGGGCAACAGTGTGCCCATTAAATAGCAGTAGCTTAGTGCGGTTCCTGATTTTGAGTTTGCCAAAGGGCACATGTGCTTGTAGGAGAGAGACAGAAAGAGAGGGAAAGTGAGAAAGCCTCCCCTCAACCCCTTACATGAGGAAAGGTCACACTGCAATCTCTTCTTTTCCATCTCTCCCCCCTTTGGGGATGTTAAGCACACCCGCACGCTGGAGCCCAGCATGTTTCTCAAGCCCGCAACTGTGCAGTCAGCCATGTGGAATCCAGAACCTTAATCACCACACCACCAGTGGGCCCAGTTTTGCATTCTCTTAGTGGTATCCTTTAATGAATAGATGTTTTTAACTTTAACATAGATAAATTAATTAATCTGTTCATGATTGTATTATGAATCCTTTCTTTAACAATAGGAAATTATGGGGTTGTTGGAAAAGCCATGATGCATTTTTGCACAGAAAATATGTCATGACTTTCCTGACAACCTAATATTAATAAACCCCTTCAAATACTTAGATTGAGCATATACTCTTTAATCAGACTTAGATATTTTCTTTCCTTTTTATCTTTAGCATTTTCCTGATTTTCTTTTTATTTATTTATTTTTTTTTAGGTTTTTGCATAGGGCACATGTGCTTGTCAGAGACAGAGAGAAAGAAAGTGAGAAATCACCCCCTGAGGGGGATGGCCATGTCACAGTCCCTTCTACTCTTGGAATTTTGGGCACGTATGCACATGTGCTTGGTGTGATTTTCAAGTCACTGGGTCTGGGATTCGAACCATGGTTGGCCATGTGGAAGTCCTGCATCTTAATCACCACACCACCTGCTGGCCCTTCATGATAGTTTTTTAAGAAGAAAGATGCAGAGAAGAAGCCGAGCCTTCAGAAGAAGGTTCCACATGGCTCCAGCGAACTAGATTTTTCAGGGAATGAAGATTTTCTACTGATAATTCAGCCTCCAGCAAACGAGCTAGCGGCTGAACTTCAAGAATTTGAAAGAAACACACCATCCATCAGATGACAAGAAATTACCGCCAGATCACGAGAAATATGGGAAAATGAGAAAATACCTCTCCTTCAAGGGAAAAGAGTAACTCTTCTTCATCCGCAAGCAGTTCGGTGACAATCATGGAAATGTCTGATAAGGAATTTAGAGCAATCATAATGTCGAAGCTAACAGAGATGGAAGAGAAGAGAGATAATGAACTGCTAAAAAGAAAGGAGAAAGAAGTTGATGAGTTCCAGGAGTTGAGGAAATTCTTGCAAGATCTAAAAGAGGAATTACACAC